CCTCCCCCTCGGCCCGGGGCCGGGGCCGGGCCCGGCGCGGGGGCAGCGGGAGGTATCACTGCGCACGTGGCCGCGCCATGCCCGCGTCCACACCCGCCCCGCTCCCAGCTCCTCCTAGAAACCCGCCGTGGCGGCCCGCCCGGCCTGCCTCGCAGCATCTCCGCACCTTCTCAGACGTAGATCTATGACGTAGAATCTTAGCACAGTCTCAGGGGATCTATGACGTACTGCCTTAATAGAGCCTCTGAAGTAGGATCTGTGACCTAGAATGGTAGCAGGTTCTCAGAGGTAGGATCTGTGAGGTAGCATCCTGGCAGAGTCTAAGACAGGATCTGTGACAGAATCTCAGCAGATTCTCTGAGGTAGGATCCATGACGTAGAATAGTAGTAGATTTCAAGACATAGGATCTATGACGTACAGTCTTAACAGATTCTCTGAGGTAGGATCTATGACCTAGAATGGTAGCAGATTCTCTGAGGTACGATCCATGATGTAGAATAGTAAGTAGCAGATTTCAAGACATAGGATCTATGACGCAGATTCTCCGATGTAGGATCTATGACGTAGAAGAGTAGCAGATTCTCTGAGGTAGGATCTTGGCAGATTCTATGACATAGACTCTATGATGTAGACTTAGCAGAGCCACTGTTCATCCCGTGCTGAGCTGAAGCCTGCAAGGAGCTCTTACATCAGCCCCAGCAACACATTTGTTGGCTAAAACTTCTCTTCTTTTCAGCATCCTGGTGCCCAGATTGAATTGCAAGGGGGTGGGGGAGAGGGGGAGGAGATGCTTTTTTTTTTAAAGTCTTTCCAGAATGTTTTCATTTTCTAGCAGTTTTTTTTATCAGGGTGAACACGTTTGTAGAGGGTTTTTCCAGAAGCACCAAATGGAAAAGAAGATAAACAGCATGGCATTCAAGAGACTGGTGGAAGAAGCACCATCCAGTTTGTCACTTAGCTGGCTCTAAAATGGGGAAACTTTATTTTCCAGTGACAAAAGGCCAGAGGTATTGGCTGAGCAGAGTGATTGAGTACTTGACATCTAACGGATTTCTTTGATTTGCCAACATTATCCTCTTCATAGTTTTCTGAACTGATGAAGTTCTTCAAGAAGGATTCAATGTGAAGTTAGTGCCTTGCCTATAGAAAGGACTTGCTAGTGGTGGATAAAACTTTCTGCTTCACCCCTAGAAGACCAACAGATACATTTTTCAAAAATGATCAGGTGATTCAGGAGCCTAAAATTGGCTTTCAGTGAGAGAGAGGTTCTGAAGTGAAGTCACTTCCTCAAAGAGTGAGAGGCTCCTAGGTCAGTTAGGAATTTTAATACTTGGTCATTTTGAAGCATATGACCACAGCTAGCTGAAGAACATTCCTCCACAACAGTCCCGCTCAGTGAAATACCAGCTGACTACAGCTGATCAAACTAGCACAACATGGTTTTCACCAAAATGGTGAAATACCTGTTAAAAATAAAGGGGTTGGTCTTTTTTGGTTATACAACACTAAATAGTAACAAGGATATGGAAAATGCTTTCTGAGACTGTCAGAAGTAGGGCTGGGTGAAAAAGAAGAAGAATTAAACAAGAATTATGTTTCATCAAAAAGTTTGTTTCAAAATGTATGTTGTTCCATTTTGGAACAGGAATATACTGATGCTTGCTTGTTTGTTGGTTAGCTGGGGGGGAACATAGGAGCAAAACCACCCTTTCCAAAATAGGCAAGAACAGAACATTTGAATCTGCCATTTTGAAGCAACTGCTGTTTTATTTGTTTAATTGTGCTAGTGTAATATAAATACAGAAGTTGAAATAACAATGAAGAAGTCTGTTTTTTGCCAAAAATGAAATGCTTCCATTTAAAAGTAGTTTAAAAAAAAACATTGCTTCATGGGAAATTTAAGCATTTCTGTTTTCATTCCCAAATTGAAGGCATTTTGAAATTGCAAAACTGCTCTTGACACAAAAATATGGTCTTCAACTCTAGTTACATATCAACCTTAGTAACTCTGACAACCCTGGTATATTTAAAGTGCAGCTAAGGATCAGCGATGATAATATTTTGTGCTCCAGAACATTACTTGGTATTCTATGGTGCTAGTTGTCTTTGGACATACAACCTTATTATGAATGACTGGATACAGTACATCCAGTTATCTATAAACCAGTATCACATGCATATATATGTAAGATAATGTTAATCCATTATTCTAGTTTGCTGTGTTGTTTAACAAAATTTTCAATAAAATGAAAATTAACATAATTATTTTAGCCACTTTTTTATTAGTGTTACATTTAATTTCCTTGGCTCTTCTTCTGGTAATAGACTTTGGACATTTCAAAATGACCCAGATGGGGTACTCAGAGGAAAATGATCATTGTCATTATTCACTGTGAAAATGGGATCAGCTCATTTAAGAAATTAATATCCACTCGGCAGTTGTAATGTGCGCTCTGGGTTTTCCCAGTGTGAGATTTTTCTGTATTTTTCACTGTGTGTGGTGAAGTATTTCAGTTTGTAACACTAACAAATGCAAAGTGGAGAGTCACTTTCACTTGTCCTGCATTCCATCTGCACACAATAATAATATTTATTACATTTATCAAGTGCTTTGTGTTTTCTGAGAACAACATCAAGATTAGCTAATTAAGCATTAAGTCTAGACCTGATGTAGCATTTCTTACATCTCCATACTCCTACTAATTTTGAAGAGGTTTTGGCTGTGAAATAGGTTTTACATAAGAAAGGCCAGTTTATAGACACAAAAATCTAAGCCTGTAATCCAGCTAAAGCATATAGTAGAGCCAAATCCAGTTTGGTCATGTAGGGGTCTACACTTAAGCATTAGAAGGCCTAATATTTAGGTACCTTGTCCTAGGAGGGTGACTTGTTTTGATCAGGTTTAGGTGCCTAGGATCCCTATAAAGCCAATAGTAGGACTTAGCCTCTTCCAAAGATCATTTCAGAAATTTCAGAGGTGCCTTGATGCTCATTGTTACATAGTAGGCATCTCTGTTCATGTGAAATCAAGAATTTCTGGTCCAGGCACCATGGTGACAGTGGAAATGGCATTGCCACCCACCTTTTACATCATAGCCTTGAGCTTAATGAACTTACTCAGGAAATGAGGATATTGAAACTCGCATGTTTCAGTTCCCATGAGAGAGTTACCACCATGATCTGGTTAGGGTTAGACATCCTTTGTCCCTCTCCCTCTTGGTGAAGTTGCACCACTGGGCAGCCTAGAACTGAAGAGATATGGGGCCAAGACAAAAAAGGAATGAAGAAATCACACTCTGTGGCCTACTCCCCTGCCTCTGGGCAGAAGCAGCTTGAGTTAATTCCTGTTGTCAGAACTGTTTATGTGCTTTACATTAGCCAATTATTGCGTAATATACAGAAATATGGCAGTAACCTCAATGCTGCTGGTGCAAGTTAGGCATGCTCTGAGCACCAAATTTATTCGGTCCCTGTGGGTACTTAGGTGCTTCCAATCGTAATAGAGTTTAGGTGAGGGCTAAGCAACTATGGGATCAAACTGGATTGCTTCCAAGCATACACAAGAGCCCAAAGGTAGGCCCTTAGGGAACTTTGCCACCCAAAATTGAGGGGTCATCTGAAGTTAGGTACCTATTCAGTTTTGTGGCAGCTGGAGTGAAGTCAGTTTTGGTCACAGTTTGGATCTTAGGCACCTAATTCCACTTAAATCTCTTGTGTAGCCAAACCAAATCTTGTCCTTAAGTACATCAGTGAGACAACTCATTTACTTAAAAGTTAAGCCTCTCTAATGCTTTCTTGGATTGGGACATAAAGAAGAGTGGAAATGTGATTTTTATATGACTTTAGAGAAAGAAAATGCCACGAGAGAATTAGCACTAGAGCTGAGAAAAATACTGCCAAAAATTACATATCAATCACCTTTTTTATATGATCCCCTCTAACTGTTTTTCTGATTATCTTTTCATAGATAGTCTAGCAAATAAGCTTTGCAAGCACAATCATTATAAACTCAAATTCCTGAATATTGTTACACAAAAAATGTCAAACTGCATAACCGGCCAATAATAATAATGCATGTGTTACAGTGGTATGTGACTTAAGTAACCAATACAGTATGGATGCTGAGTATTTGCAATTATAAAAGATTTTCAACCCAAGAAGCATTCACTGGAGAAATCTGCAATTTAATTTAAAAGAACAAATGTAAAAATGTCACAATTTTGTGGCCCTTGAAAAAAAAGTGCAAAATGCATAATTCTATTTGCTACTATCTCTAATCAGTAATGGGTCAGTATTATGTGTAGACGACATTTCTCCAGTCTTTAACTGGAAGGGATAAATTAGTTACATGTTTGAACTTTATCCTGTTGGCTTTAAGATCCCTTGTTTATTTAAGGTTTTTAATTTTGCATAATAAGACTTATAGTTCAACCTTGTATGCTAACTTGCGGTTAATGTACGAGAAAGAGCTGTCAAATGTTCAACAGAAAGAATAACAAGAAGGTGAGTTTCCTGTTGGCTTTATTTTTGGTTTTTGTCTTTTTTCCCCTTCTCTCCACCCTTGTTATCTAAACAATTTCCGCTTACCTTCTCTAGACTTTTTTTTTTTTTTTATTATCTAAACCAAAGGATTTCCATTTACTGTCCCACTGACTCATGACTTCATGCTTTAACCTTTATTAACAGCCTTTATTAAAATATTGGTCTGGGGTCCGTCCTCTGCCTCTGACTTCCCAACATGGGCAGGAACTCTAGACTGATCTTTCAAATGTTTCTTGTTTCTTATGGTCCTCCTTTAATTTCAACAAACTCCATTATACCTAATTCTTCCCCTCTATACACACACCTTTATATTTTTTCTTTCTGCCTGAAGATTCAGAATAGTTCATAGGCTAAGAAAAGCACTAATTGTCACTGAAACCTGGGCTTCTAGATTCTAGCTTCTGGCC